CACCAACATCTGATTTCCTTCAGCAGGCTTGAGCTGTCTGCTCCAAATAAACGTCATTCAAGGGCCCTGGCTTCAAAAGGCCTTAGTAACCGAGGTTTGTGTATTAGACAGTAAACTTGGCCATGAATGCAGATTCCCTCATCCCACAACACCCTCCCTGGTAACATGTGGGCGGTGGCACCTGGAACATCAGTTTGGCTGGCTTCCCACTTTGGGTAAGACTGTGGCTGGCTGGCAGAAACCATTAGCGATTATTAAATATCTTCAAAAAGTGACAAAAATAAGGGCAAGATAGAATCGATTGAGTAATCTTTAAAAACAGGTAATTTTTCTGGGACAAGTAATTGGACAGAGTTGCTGTGAGCATAGCTTTGTTTAAAAAAAGCTATTTGGTAAACATCAGAAGCAAGGCCACTAGTAAAGATCACTGTCTTCAGAAAAAAACAAAAGACAAGACAATACCTCAAGCCAAAGTGTGTATCTAAAAATTCTACCATTTAACATTTCATTTAGACAGTTTATATAGGGCACTTTTTGCAACCTCTTGTGATACTTTACAACCTCAGTAAGATAAATATGATCTACTCCATTTTACGGATAATAAAACTCAATAAGATAAATATGATCCACTCTATTCTATGGGTTAATAAAACCCAGAGAGGTAAAATAACTTGCCTGAGGTCACATAGCCAGTAAACCACAGAAACGGGACTCAATCCTAGACAGTCCACTAGGCAATACTGCTTTTAGAGGAACCCCATGTGCTTTTCCGTTCATTGTTGCAAGACATTAAAACCATTTAGCCCTGATTTAAACAATACTCTGAAATCTACAAACCTAGATGACTGAGGCATTTCTTTATCACGCTGGTGCTGGGGACAAGTGTGTTTTCTATGTGCAGCCATATTTGGAGCCACGACAACTGATCTATCTAATAGGTACACTGGCTAGGAATCAGGACACTCAAGCTCTGTCCCTTCGTTTAGGACCTTGAATAACTCCCTTCTTTCTAGGTCTCCAGCTGCCCCCTACTTCTCAGCTTTCCTTCCCAGTAAAATTCCTCAGGAATAGTCATCTATACCACTGGTTCTCAAAGCGTGGTTTGGAGTTTGAGAGTCCATGAAGCCAGTAACACTAGGACATTATCTACCTTTTTCACTTTCATTCTAAGTGTGCAGTGGAGTTTTCCAGGAGTTCCATGGCACCAGGTTATAATGCAGAAGCAAATATGAGAATCTGGCTGACTATTAAGGCAGATATTAAAAAGATTTGCAAAAATACAAAACAGTGTCATTCTACTCACAAAATAGTTTTTGAAAATAGTTATTTTTCATAAATCATGATGTTTATGTTAACATGTAACCAATTTGTTATTTATTCATCTGAAAGGAATATTTATAATATTTCTGTTTTAATTTCTAATACCGCAAATATTCATAGGTAAAAACCTAAAACAAAAGCTCTCTCGAGTCCTTGGCTTTAAGAGTGTAACAGGGTCTTCAGGCCAAAAACTAAGAATCATTGGTCTGTTCTCTCACTGTTTCCAATTCTTTCATCCCTTCTCAAAACTACTCTAGTTAAGGGTTTTCCCCCCGTTACGTGTCACCAAATTGCTCACGAACACTAAGGACTTCCCAGTTACTAAATCCAATGGTCAATCCTCATTTCTCGATCCTTATTGAGAAATGTCATGGCATATATCTCATAGCTTATTGCTGACTTCTCATAGCTGATTGCTGACTTCAAAATTCACCCTAAATTCAATAGTTACCTCCCTTACTCCATTGTTCAAAGCCACTATTTTCTCTCGCCTAGGTTATTACAGTAGCCTCCCCATTTGATCCTCTTACTTGGCCCCTGTAATTTAGTTTCAGCACAGAAGTCACAGTGACCCTTTCAAAAGGTCAGATATCACACATAGCTGAAAACACACCAATGGCTTTCCATCTTACCCAAGAATAAAAGCCCAAATCCTTACAATGGCCTGTAAGGCCTACTCTAGTTGACTCCTAGTTACCTCTCGTCCCTGCTCACTTTATATAGCCTTCACGCCTTTATGCTGGCTGTCCCCTCTGACTGGGATGCTCTTTCTCCAGAAATCTTCATGATTCACTCCAACTCCTTATAAGCTTTACTCAAATGTCACTGTCTCAAGGAGACCCACCTTGATCTCTTCCACTTAAAAGTACACCTCCACCCCCGACCTCCCAACACTGATCTCCCTTATCCTGCTCTACATTGCCCCCCAGAGCACTTTCTAACATACTGCCTATGTTTGCCTCTCTAATAGAATGTCTCCACAACTGCAAGAATTTTTGTCTGTTTTGTTCACCAATGTATCTTGTGTGTCTGAAATAGTCCCTGACAAATAGTTTCCCAATAAATATGTTGAATGAATATATGGAATCAGCTTCTGTCTAGAAAACTTAGTGGGAGGGAAGGGTGCTTGGACTCAATATCTCCCAATTCAAGCCTCTGATTCTCTAACTAGGCAGAGAGCTCACACATAAAGGTGATCTGAAAACTGTTTAGACATATGGCTCAGCTCCTGATAACAAAGACTTGGACCCAGGCCCATAATTCTAAGTGCCCAGCTAGGACAGGGCAGGATAGGCTATGGTTAAGTAGGCAGCAAAAGACCCAAGTACTGTATTGTCTTCGTTGGCTGTCAGGGCCTGGGACACTTTTCAGTAACTATGTTCCTAATCTTTTCTCATCTCAAGGCCATCTAGTTCTCCTGCAGGATCATTCCTATTTCGCTAAAACTTTGCCCTGCAAAACGGCACAAATCCCAATTGTGGATGTCCAAATGCAAGCTGTGATCTCAATTAGTTGTGACAACTCCATAATCCTAACCCAAATTCAGGTCTCTCTTTCAATGACAACCTTCTTCCTACTCCAGAGCAAACTTGAATTCTAAGAGGTTTTTTAAAAGTGGAAAAGATGAGATGGAAATGGGAAATGACAGCATGAAATACAATTAAAACACTGTCTAGCCAACCCTTTTGAGGGGCTCTAACGTGGTATTAGCCAAACTTAGCTTTAAGGAACACTATTCTCTTACTCGTTGAGCAGTAGGACAAACCGATTTGGCACCTGGAAGGTACTCAATCAATGTTTATGGAATGGAAGAATTAAACTTGGTAACTCACCAGAAATAAATTCAGTGTGAACACTACAGCTATAACTAGGCTTAACTCAGTATTAACCAACTCCAACTAGAAATCTAAGGGTGACGAAAAGAAAGGTGGGGACTAAGAACCCACCCAGGTGAAGGAGGGCCTTGTGCCCGATGTGCTGAGAGGCTCCTTCCTTGTTTGTGGCCATTGAGATCAGCGCCATCCCCATCACCTCATCTCAAGGCTTCAGCAATAAGAGTACCTACCTTATTTCCAGCTTGCCATATTGATGTTAAGAAAAAAGGGGGGAGGAGGAGGGGCATGAGTAAGATATACCTGCCCTTAAATTAGTAGGATATTGGGTAAGCAACTTAACCCTTTCTTTACAAGGCTGCAAAAGTGAAACAAAATGACACATGTGAAAATACCAAGCAAATATGGTGGTCAATGTTCTTTTCTTTTCCCTTCCCACAAAACAAGCAAAAGAATTCAAATCTGACCAATATACTAGCTAGCATTTGTGTCTATTCCCATTAACCTCCCATATCTATTACTTTCTTCTACTTCCATATCTGGCAAGTTGTCTCGCCAATTCTCTGCCCTGAAGATCAAGGCATTCCTCTGTCCTCAGGGCTACTCAATTTCAAGTTCAACAACATCCGTTACTAGTGTGAATAAAATAATGAATCCAAGTGGTGTCCCAGTCTCCAGTTTAAGCATGTTCAATTCAACTTGCACATGCTTAAATTCTTAATGCTATATTGTTCTGCTCTGGTCTGCAGATGGCTCCAAGCCTGTTAAGCCAAGGTCAAACTCCAGGGTCCTAGGTTTCACCTAATTTCTGATCGTATTTCCCTTGCTCACACCTAGTCTCTGGTCCAGTTCAATCTGTTGTTCCTGGTACACTTTTGGATTTCCTACCTCAGCTCTGTCCACACCCTACTGGTAGGTCACTGTGTTTCCTGATTACACGTCTACATTCTTCACTAACTCAAACTGGTAGAGTCTCTCAAATGCTCTAGGGTCCCTCTGGCTTCAGGTCCTTTGCAGAGGCCAGTCCTTCTACCTAGAACGCTCCCCTTTGACCCAATTCCCTACCTACTCTTGCCTCTGGGCACCATCCTCTGAAAGGTCAGTTTCCCTTAATACCTCGTCTTAAAGCAACTATGATAAATACTAATTGTTTCTCTCCCCGACTAAGCTGCAGAATTTATGAGGATGGGGTGAGTTTCTGATTTTGCTTACCATTGTTATCCCAGAGCCTAGCACGCGGTACATGAGAAATCTGTTAAATAAGCAAGACTTCCAGATAAGAATATTCACTCATGAACTCTTTATAATATCTAAAAATGGATCTTCCAATATCTAAAGTAGGAAAATGGCTATATTATGGCACACATAATGAAATGTCAATTGTCGAAAGCCACACTTTCAAAGTATGACATGGGGAAACGCTCTTTAGTGCTGAATGAAGGAGCAGGAAACAAAACTGTACTTAACTACAGCAAGATCTAAACTACGTAGAACTGGATGTGCGAGTAGGAGGGATACAGAGACAGCATATATTCTCTGAAAAAAATCTGTACCATACCTCTTTTGCACATTTTCTATAGTAAGC